CATCATATCTGTAGCTTATTTAGTTCCAATTATATGCACATTTTAGATAAATTTGGTGGCCATTTTGAAAAATGGCCGCCATTTGTATACCAGGTGAAAAATCAAGTGTCAACAGGGCTTAGGGTGACCAGGACGGATTAATTAGGATACCGGGCTATGTTGACTGCTTCTAACATTCCACTCCCCTTAACTTGATTTCTAGGCTTCTTTTTTGAATTTTTTCCTAGTCTATATTGATTTTTGAACCTTTTTGAAGCTGTTTTCTCAAAACCTACATGGCTTATATCCAATGAACTAAATATTCATAAATTCACTAATACTCATTAAAGTCAAAACAAATTAACACTATTTTAAAGAGGAATTCATGCAGAATCTAAATATACCAAAAACTCAATTTCGCATTTTTCCAACAAACGGCTGGTTTCTCCAGAGTCCGTCACATACAGTATAAACACAAAAAAAAAAAAAAAAAAAAAAAGTTGTAATTTGTACAAAAAAAAAAAAAAAAAAAATCAGTTGTAATTTGTACATTCAACTGAAAATTAGACTGACAAAAAAATCCTTTGCAATTAACAGATGTCAAGTTATCATTAATTCTTTGCATCATATTACATCTCCAGGCAGTAAATTTTAATGATTTTTTTTAGTAAAACATGTGAAAGTCAGTTATTTTTATTAATTATCTTTCATTATCTCAGATTCAAAAGGAATATACAGAAGGCATAAAAACACATGGCAGAAAGAAATTTAAAAACACTAAAACACATAAATTAAACGGTGTAATAAAATGTTTTTAAGCCTATTCAGTAAGTTTAATTTTTATATTTACTGGCTGCACTGTTGAAACTTCTTTATGGAGGATGATACAAAGGAATTATGATCAACCTACTACTAGGTGGTAACCACTGATAGAGATGAGTAATATTGTTCATACATTCATTTTATCTACTATTCTTTTCAGGCAAATTTAGTTTAACTGTTTTTCCTCTTTCATGATTTTTCTAGCTTGATTTGCTATTCTCTATTTCCTCCTGCAGTCACTTTTCCTCAAACTATTAAACCAAGCTCAGCATCCATAAATTACATACATAGCGCTTTTTCATGAAGCATTAACAATTATTGCACTTAATACAACCCGTAACTTATTGAAATTTGATACCTTACATGTTATGTTTTGAAAACAAGATACATTAAAAACTGTAAAGAAACTATAGACTTTTATACATACTGGCGAGCAGAGACATTGAAAAGTAAATAAGATACCTACACTATGGAAATTTTAAAAAGAAAATATGAAAACATATTAACGAGTAAGAAAAATAAAATAACAGTACACATTGAGAGTAGAAGGATGCTCTGCCAATGCAATTTCATTGAAAGGAAAACTGCAAATTCTTCTATTGAAAACACTACCACATGCACTAAAACTAGACAGCCAAAGATAATGGTTCAGCATGCACGGAATAGACACCACCACTTTTAACAAAATAAATGGAGAAAAAATAGAGAAAATGTGAATAAACAAAACCTATAAAAATTTCAGATATCCAAGTAATCAAATTACATTTGCACATTATTAAAGGAGAAGTGGGGAGGGGAAACTAAAATTACTTATCTCTGGAAAAAAGTGTTACCTGGGGTTGGAGTTTTCCCACTAGCTTGGGTTTTCTTACTCGGACCAATGCCAGCCGATGGAGCATCACCGAGGTATACACCACTCTTTTCCTGCAGCTCTACCTTCTGTAGCATCTCATTAAGAAGTTTGTCCGCTGTAACTGGTGTTGATCTGTAGGGTGCAGCTCTTTGGCTACAAATTAAAGTGATTATGAAAGTAAAAATCACATTTAAAGTGATCAGGGTTAATAAATTTTTTATATACGGGTAGTCATAATGTGCCTATATAACTAGGGTCACAATGTTATGTCATCATGCCCATATTTAGGCATGTCACATGTTTTTGTCAAATAAAATTTGATAGTCTGGACAGTGGGGGTGGTGCCAGCAGAGGAGCCGGGGGAGGGGGCCGTCGGGGAGAGCCGTCCAGGGAAAAACACCACAATTCGTCTGGGAGAAAAAAAATTGAATGTATTTTCTATGTATTAGTAGACTCTAAAATCAATTAAGTAAGCCTTTGAAACACCTACATTTTGGGATCAAAAAATGTGTGTGATGCCCGACCACGCCCACTGTGCTCACCTGTCGGGCAAATCCTGCCGCCACCCCTGCTGGATAGGTCATTAATTTAGTGACCCACAATAAAAAACAGTATAAACATTGTTCTATCAATTTTCGGTAAGTTGTTGGCTAGGTTGAGCTCCTTTCTAGTTGAAAGTTTGCCACTGATTATGTCTTTTGGCACCAAAAAATGGAAAATAAGTAAAATGGATCACATCATAAGTGTAATTTTGGTTTTTGGCTAACTACCTGTATGTTCACAGACCTGCCAACCCCTGGGCCATGAAAATCTGGAGATTTTTTTAAAAATCTTAAAAAAATCTGGAGATTTACCCAAAAATCTTGAGGTTTCTAGAATTAACTAAAATATGATACAATTTACTAAAAAAGGCACGTCAAGGCAAATCATAGTGGTATAAAACCAATGGTACAAAATTACTGCAAAACAACTTATTAAATTTCTGCTTGTCTATTGCAGCGAATACATTGAATAATAACGATCTAATCAATCATTTACGTATAAATCGGAGTATTTTGCAGAGGGAACATGCAAAATCAGTGAAATCGGGTGAAAATTACATTCGATCGGTGGAGCTGGAGATTTGTTTAGATATCGGGTGACACCCGACAGGATCGGGTGAGTTGGCAGGTCTGTGTTTATTACAGCTGAAGAAGAATCATTATGAAATTCAGATGTTTGAAAACATACTTCAGAGAAAATCATTGCCTCTTAAAGATAATCAACCGAAAAATTGTTGTTCCTTTAATCTTATCAGATCTAAAAAAGAAGATCAAAAAACCCAAACACATGCTCTGTAAAAATGAAGTCTCTATATTAGACTTAGGGAGTGGAGTTGTAGTCATGTGCTTTGCTTACCCAGGAAGTGCAACCTTCTTGTTCCTTTTTAGGTTGTTGTATGGAGAAGTCATGTTGACTGGATAGGATTTGAGTGGATAATCTGTTAAAAAGTAAAATAAATATACATAAACTAAAAAATTGTTTTTTAATAATAAATATAACAAAAATTGCTGTGTTGTCAGCAGTCACATTTAAAAATTATAAGTTAATATAATTTAATTTAATTTATAAACTGTTAAATTTTTTTAATTGCTTGGAGGGTATCTTAAAAATCAGCTAAAATTTGCACAGAAAATAGGTGTGCAGAATCGTAATAATAATTTGTTCAAAGCCTAAATAGGCCCTTATTTACAAACAAAGTGTACTGACTTATTTTTACATCAATGTATGATTACATATGCAACATATGACTTTTCTTTTTTTTTTATTATCTAGAATTTTTACCTGATTAACCCCTGTCTCTTATACACATCTAGATGTGTATAAGAGACAGGCCTAGACTTGTGTAGGCCCTACAGTAGACTAGGCTACCCAGGTCCGACTAGGCCTTAATTGGCCAATAGCCTGAGCTAGGCTTCAGTTCAGTGGTGTATAACACCTCTTATTTTACAACAGCTCAGTACACAACAGTTTAATACATTAATATTGAAAATATATACTGTAATACAAATATAGATACAAAGATATAAAAAATTGTGTAATTAAACGAACTGTTGTAAGAGCAAATAGAAAAATTTATTAGATTATTACTCCCACCTGCATCAAAAATTCGGGAAATATTGATGCAGGAATAAAAAAAAAATTTTTTTTGCCGCCTCAATAAAAAACTCTAAAATTAAACCAGTTTTTATACAATATTTACTATTACAAGCCAAAGATAAACAGTCCCTCCCTCATTGATGAAAACGAAAGCGAAATAATCTATTGTTCTGATTAAAAAAAAAAAAAAAAATACCCTCCCTCATCAATTGTTTTAAAAAAAGAAAGTGAATATATTTACGCCGACGTAAAAAAAATCAGTAAAACGATATATTTTTACGTAAATGAAACAAGCAGTCATACTTTAATAAACTTGCATCTTTTTTTTTATGTGCCCTAAGGATCCTTGTCTAGAAAAAAAACCTTGTCTCAAAGGGATCCTTAAATAAATAAATAAGAGCAAAAACAAATCAAAAAATATAAATAAAAGAAAAAAAATGAAACAAAAGAAAAACAATAAATTCAAGATTAGACCAGGGCCTAGCCCTCTAGGCCTAGGTTGCCTAGGCCTCCTACCTCCTAGCTAGTTAGCCTAGCAGTAGGCTTAGCCTAGGCCCTAGCCTAGCCAAAAAGAAAGGTAGGGCCAGGCCTTGCTACGATCCTCTAGGCCTAGGCTCTAGTAGTAGGCTAGTATATACACTAGTAGCCTAGCCTAGCTAGGCTCATCATGTTATAATTATGAAAAAAAAAATTGAAAGCACAGTTAGAAAAATAACGGTGAAGAGGATTAGGCCTATATAATCTAACTTGGCCTAGACCTAGGAGAAGCAGACGTTTCCTTCACATTACATTGCTGATAATTTAAAAACCGTCGACAACAAAAAGCGTCGTGTATCTATGTAAAACACGACCTCAACGACGTCAAAACAATCGCCATGTTTCGTTCTTTTAATATAAAGGTCAAGCCTTCCCATCATACAATTCTGTTAACCTCTTGCTAGTGTATATGTTGACTTCCGGTTTCGGAACTTTAATGTTTACAGCTGTTAAATCTAGAAAGGAAAACCCCAGAAAAATTTCTTATTTTATCTTTTTCAATGCATTATCAATGGCAGGGGGAAGACGTGGCCCAGGAAGACAACCTGCGAACCGTCCAGTTCCATTAGCTTCAGCACATAATGTTAGAAACTCGTCACAAAGTGCAACACTTCGTCAGCGGTAAGTCCTAGCCTCGCTAGGCAGGCAGGCTAGGGTAGACTCGCTAGTCTCGTCTCGATATTGACAGTGTACAGTAGCCTGCCTACCTAGTATTTTTAGACCTAGTAATCTATGGAATATTGAGTTTCTCGTGTGTGACATTTGTTTAAAATTATGAGGGGCAAATTGCATTCTTTATTTGTCAGTTCCATTATGTATAGTCAGTCGTTACTATATTTCAAGAAGGGAGAAACCAAGAAACCGTTTTGGCTGGTGGTAGGAACAACAAAATATGAAACATGTAGGCCTAGGCCTAAATAGAAAAATATGTAAACATGTAAAACAAAAACAATACTGTAGTAAGTTAGTTTTCTCATCTCACACTGAGGCTGTTGATGACGATTGGTTGCAATGTGGCTATATTTTTAAGGCTGTGTTCACACACACACACCATCTAGCGCCACGGTAAGCAATTAGCAGGATCCAGATTACTACAAACATACGCGCTCAATCGCTGTGTTCATATAAAGTACGTGAAAATCCTTGATCCAGATATTGAGAAGATGACGGTGGAATCATTGGCCAATAGGAAGTTGAAAATGCATATCTTTGATTGGTTAATGATAGAAATGAGGCAAACTTGCTAATCGATAGCACTCGCTAACCGATAGCATACAGTATTCAGTAGAGCTAACCGATCAGGTGTTCTTACACATGATCAGGCTAACATTTAGCTGCGGATCCGGATATTAAAGGCTCTAGTGTGAACATAACGTAATTCTGATTGGATGTTATTATTGTAATCCAATCCATAAAAACATACAATCAGAATGAGGAAATACAGTAGAGCGAGGCTACTGTATCAGGCTCTTTTGATAACACTTGAGTCCTAATCTTTTCCATTTGTTTATAAAATATTCACAAAATAATAAAAGGTAAATTGAAATTATTTATCTTTGTCATTAAAACATCTGTATGAGGCAAGAAACATTAAAAAAAAGAAAAAAAAAGCAGTATAGAAAAATTTAAATAGGCTATTATTTAAAGTTCTGTCCATATTATCAAATTTTCTTTGACAAAATACTATTGTATTCCCATGTATAGTCATGATTTGCCTATATATGGCCATTATGTGATGTCATTATGACCATATTTAGGCATGTCACATGTTTTTGTCAAATAAAATTGGATAGTCTGCTATCCAATTTCATTTGATGCTCTTGACAGGGATTTATGGGATCAATAAGGTTGAATTCCAAAACTGCACATTTATTTTCAGATTCATAAAAATAATTACATTACATACATCTTCAATTTATTTTACTAGAAATGGACCAAATGTTGTTGGAAATAACCCGTTGATGACCACTACACTGATCACGATCACTCCAATACGCCATCTTGATATTCCGTCATTGCCGACCGATGGAAACCTCTTCTTCGAGGCAATGATGCTTGTCTACCTATTGATGGCACTGTTTCTCCAGTATGTGAACATTTACAAGACCATCTGGTGGCTGCCCGTACCGCCATCAAATACAGCATTGGTCAGTACTGTATTACCATATGCATGTTAAGTGCTGTAGTCTTAGGTGTCTATCCCACACAATGTATTCTCACCTTGTTCTGAAAGCTCATTGATCTTCATATACCACATACACTTGACACTGTAAAGTGTTTTATTTTTGCAAGGGATAACATTTAAAACTACTGTACTGTATATTGAATAAAAACATAAAATCGCAAAAACCATAGATCTAATTTTTGGGGAAAATTTGCGCGAAAATTGGCCCATATTTTTGCAATATGCGAGAAGAAAAAAATTATTTGTTTAGTAATTTATTTTCCTATAAAATAATTTTACTTTCTGCTTCCATGGATTTTGTTTGGAGAGATCTGAAAATGCTTGCCTTCTAATCCCAGGGTCCTGGGTTCAATTCTTGTTCACACTCCCTGTGTATTGAACATCTACAGTAAGTGGTGAGTGTATGTGTTGGATGTGAAAAAAAAAAAAAAAAACACAAAACACGAAAAACACCATAAAATTTACAAACAAAGTGTACTGACTTATTTTTACATCAATGTATGATTACATATGCAACATATGACTTTTCTTTTTTTTTTATTATCTAGAATTTTTACCTGATTAACCCATTCTTGGTGATCTTTATTACCGTTGTGCTGTCAAGAAGACTAATCTGGAGCTTGGTGCGTGATGTAAGCTTGGATATTCTTCTTTTAAATCTTATAATAAAAAGGCTAAAGTGATGAACATCACTAATAATAATAGAACATCTCTGAGTCTGTAATGTAACCTAATTAACAAAGATTCTTAAATATTGAAAGATGATCTAACCCACCATTAATGCTCGAATAAAATGTTTGGATGCTTTAGTGCGGCACTAATTTAAGAGCAGCTCTTAGCGCTGTGGTGCTTGTTTGAGAGTGGCGAAAAATATCAGGTTTGGTGTGGCAGTTAATATCAAATATGACAGCAATGTGGTTCACATACGTTATTAATAATAATGAGACATTTACAAAGATTAATTGTTATTTACTTTTATGACATCATTAACTAGTTTTAGATCTTACTACCTACCACCTTACCATTAATAACATATTTTCAATTATTTTTGTTACAGGTGTCCTTCCAAGGGAATGTTTTAACAATTAGCTTCTGTGTGATACAGCTGTTCAAGTTTGTACTGGTGGTGGGCTTTGTCTTCTTAGCTGGCTACTCACTGTGGAAGTTGTTTGGTAACAATTCGCCACTGAACATCTTATTCCTAGCCTATCCGTGAGTACATTCTAGAGGCTGTTAACGTTGGTCAGAGATACCCTATGTCAATATAAATGACCGCTATAAATATGGTTCAAATAAATAAATAAATATTATGACATTAAAATGTGGCAAAGACAAGCCAAACCAGTCACTCGTCGCAAATCCTGTTTCAAAGATAATGGCCAAAACATGCTGGAATGTCAAACTTTTTTGAAATCTATCTTATTTTACTAACCTTCATATATATCATGCTATGCTGTTGTTTTCCCCATTTTCAATGTTAAACCAACAATTTCATAACAATTTGGTGATGGTTTTTTCCAGAGAAATGGCAGAAATGATGAACTGTGAAGGTTGATTTCTCAAATATTTTCTTTTAACTGCTGTATGTTTAAACTCTTGTAACTTCATAGTGAACTGTCGGATTTTAACGAGGCGTTTACCATTTTATAGCTCTCATTTTACTGTTTTCCGGTATTAATAACTATAAATTGATTTTTGTGACGAGTTACTGGTTTGCCTGTTTTTGCCACAAATTTAAGAGTTGGAAGTTGTATCCTGTATCCCTTGATTTCTTTATCAGCTACTGCAATTTCATTGGATAAATACTCTTCCATCTTATTTCTTCTGATGATGTTTCAAATCACAAGGATTCATTATTGGTGATAGTTATGAATACAATAATCACATTTTTTATTATATAACAGAAACTTGAATGAATTTTAAATTTCAGGTTGGTATCTTACTTTCTTCTCTACGGTTTAACCTTTGACACCAGTACGCCAATCTTTCTGCTGCAGTCATCTGTGAAGTCGATGGATGATGATTACAGTAAAGTAGGGTCACATGACCTGAGCAGGATCATTCCGTTACACAAATGCACACACTCCCCGTCCGATACACGTCGAGAGGCTGATCTTCTGAAAGTTGACTTTAACATGCGAATCAAGAATGTTTTATTCAATTCAATGGTGTGTGCATATTACGTCGGTTTTGTACCCATCTGTTTCCTACAGGTAAAGTATATATGAGTTACGAATAATAATTTGTTATTGGATTATAACCCTAAGCCACTTATAAAAGTGATTAGGTAGGAAAGATTTTTATTACTATTCAAGTCGATTGTATGACAGTCAGTGGAAAATGCAACAGGAGTCGGTCACATCAAAAACTATCCACCACTTTTATCCAACAGGTTTTTATTTCAACAGAATGAATGCTTATTTCATAATTCATTTATATTGGTGTATAATATAGAATAATCTAACTTTAATTCTAATGTAAACTTCCTAACTTAATTTCCAATATAAGTATATTTTTAGTTAAAATATACGGAAACTTTCCAAACAAGGCTGTAGAATAATCCAAGCACATGTAAACGTTCAGCAAGCTTTCGTCGAATTATAATAAGCAAACCAGATAAAAGTATTAAATTGTTTTGTCAGAAGATAGAAAGTTAATTAACATAATTTAACTTGTAACTTTGTAAGTATCATTAAATTGTTCATATCCAATACTTTATTTATAACAAGTTTGCTGGTGTCGATACACATTTTTTGTTTCTTTTCAATCAGAGTTCAATGTACCTGGATTTATGGTGGTCTTGTCAGCACATAGCATTTGTGTGGATTAACTCCTTTATTATGTTCAGCTCGCACTTTCTACCGCATAAGTATTGCGATGTTCTGCATCGCTGTGCCTTGCACCTCGGCTGCTGGCAAAAGATTGATCATGGCTATAGTAACACACCGCAACATGTGTAAGTATAGACTAATCCATTTAAAGTGATTATCCTTCCTATGCAGATGTCATGTTTGTGGGTGGGGGGGGGGTGCTTCATTGGTGAAGTCTTAAGCCTTGTCCAAGCTATTAAATTTTATTTGACATGCCTAAATATAGTAAATATAAAATATATTCAACAGTTTTTTTTTTTCAAAAAACTTTGATAATCTGGACAGAGCTTTATGCATCAACTGCTATAAATGTAAATATTAGAATTATAGTATATATAGTATTTTGCTTTCATCGTAATCTATTCATGACATCACATGCACACAGGGTACCAAAAGGAAGTCTCCAGCAATGGTGACACCAATAGAGTGCGCCATTTCTTAATTGGATTTGTCTATTGTTATTAGTATATATTTAGTTTCCTTTTACTTTTGATAAAAATGCACAATACAATCAAATATAATCCTTTTTTTAAAAAATATAGATGAAATAATATTATATTATAAATATAAATGAGTTGGTTAAATATAATTATGTCAAGCTTGGTTTGACTAGCTAGTAATCAGGCTAGTTACATATATCAGTTGTTTTGATGCCTAATAAATGTCTTTTGCAGGCTGGTTTTATTAGGCATCAAAACAACTGATATATGTAACTAGGAAGCCGGATTACTAACTAGTCAAACGAAGCTTGACATAATTATATTTAATGAACTCATTTATAATTAATAAAATGAGGTGGAAGCCAACAATGGAATATCATCTCTATACAAGTGTTAGCCATGCTAATGAAAGAATTACTTAACAATAACCAGATACTGCAGTGAAAAAGCACAAAAGAAAGATAAGGAATACTGAAATTGATATTAGCACTTATAACTTATAACAGTTACATAAAGAATTACTCTACAAGATAGATACAAATATTGGAATATATAAATTTTTAAAAATATGGATTATAAAAATTATAAAACAGGAACAAGACCAATTTCAACAATATCTTTAAAAATATAACACTTAAGTAAGAAAAAAAAACAGGGGTATCATTAGCATGGCAATATAATTATATGACAAAATTGACAGTTTATTATTTCACATCTGAGATTAATATACTGTATTTCAAGCAATTTATATATACAGTAAGGTTAATATATTGTCAAAAAATTGAATGTATGTATGTATGAACAATAGCTCTCCACATAAGCTCATTACTTATAAGTCTCATATGTTTTCTTCAGTTGGTCTGATTTAACTGTATGGCCTCAAGGAGTGTTAGTTCGCTATCAGAAAGCACTTTACAAGGCAGTCGGTCAGCAAAATGTAGCACAGCCGTCTGATAGCTCGTATGCCAGATTTTATGTGAGTAGAGAGGCGATAATGAGTTTTATTTGTGCATTGCTCATTCCATGCAAATCCATTTAAATATAAATACAAATATCTTAATATTATCATAAATTCTTAATAAAAATGAAAGGCTATTCCAAACCCGCATTATTTCACTTAAACTAATTTAGTTTGTTTATAATGTTTTTTTACAGTTTATGTTTAGTCAGCCGCTGCGAGTACTCAACATTATGGTTGTGCTTCAAATATTCGTTGTTGTGTACCAGTTATACTTGCTTGCCCGATATTCGCATTGGAACTACGTCATATCAATCTCGCTCTTGCTCTTCTCAAACTATTACGTGCTATTCAAGCTCTTACGAGATCGCTTCGTGCTGGGGAAGGCATATGCGTTAGAGAACCCCGATTAAGAGAGTACAGTATTAATGTTTAGTAGGCGGCTATACAACAAGTATGTTTGTGTGTTACAGCTTTTTCTTTGCGACATGATTTTGTCTACTGTCAGTTGGCCATATGGATAAAAAAGTGTTTAAAAAATTGCCCTATTTACATATTAAATTCATTTTTACTATTCTTTAATATTTCTTTAAGGTTATTATTGTTGTTTGATATAATTTATATCTCTAATTAGATTAGCTTCTAGATTTATATTGGTTAGACTGACAAATTTTAAAGTTGCTTTCTAAATATTTTCTATGAAAATTGTGTTTAGTAGAGATAGGATGAAACAATCTTAGTTTTGTTTTGTATCACCATTTTAAGATATTGAAGTTGGTGATGATTTTTCAGTATTATTATTTCAAATTATCAAGCAGGTTTATTTGGTTGTGATCAATCAATCATTCAAGAGACTGTTGACATTTTTAAAATGTAAGATTATGTGAGCCAAAGAGAAATGTCTCAGCAATTAAATTAATAATAACAGATACTTAAGATAGATTGAGGGTGCAATGTAATTTGTCGGAGAAAACCAAATTGAGGGCACCCTTTATTATATAGGCCTAAATACCCTACCATATTATTTTTTATCCATAAGGCTGATAGACTTTCTTTCCAGTACTTACTGTTGTAGAGATATAGACGTACAATAATTGCGTTCTAGTATTTTAGAAGCAGTTTTTCATTGAACGTTAAACAACAATGTCAATTATGAATGGTAGAATTTACCATTTTTAAATGCTTTAGGTTTTTTTTTTCCTTGTTTTGTTTTAAAGGGAAGATGGGATACAATTTTTCTTTGTTATTAATATTTAAAATTGCTGCAAACAAAAGTACTATTACTGATGGTGATGATTCCATAATTACAAATTGTCTAAAAAATACAATTTATTCATTGCTTCTGTTTGACAATATAACTGGGTGATGAATATTACTATAATCTCTCCAATCTGGCAGTAAACCCTTGGTGTTTTAAGGTAAGGTAAGGGTTTAGTAACTTATGAGTAATTGAACCATCTTACTTATTCCATGTGATATCCAATTATTTGCCATAGCTTGTACCATATAAGGCTGATGGTTTTTTTTTGGTGTGGATAGCAGGAATCTCTGGCGGCGCCACTGTTTTCATTGGCATTTGATACATTTCATTTAAAATGTAAGCCTATTTAACAATACAAGGGTTTAAAGATTTGGTATATGTCTTTAAAACTGGCAGTCAACATTTAGTAACCAAGACATTTGGAAAGCAGGTCATTTCAAAAGCTGAAATATCCGCTGCAGGGTTACAAAAAGTCAGCCACTGCTTTAAATAGAAACTATTAAATCACCATCAGCAGTAAGTAATTTTTTGTTTGGTTCCGGGTGGATCTTAATTGCATGGCTGCTAAGACCGTACTTCCATTTATTGGTGCTGGAATATTCTTTTTAAACAATTTTGTTCTCCCATTTTATGTATTGGTTGTTTCCAATTCATTTTGTTTAGTTGTAATTTTTCTGTAACAGTATTTATGTAACAACCAACCAACCAAATACTCAATATACAGCTTAATATGCTAAGGCCTTTTTTGAGTACTGTATTATGTTTTTCTTCATGCTTGTTGCTTGAAAAATCTTTCCTAAAACACACATGCAGCAATGACCAGCACAAATTCGACCAACCCTAAAATATACTGTGTCATGTGCATTCTGCAATTACTTTGACCAAACTGAAGCACAAAAAATTTTCTTGGGAGAAAAATATCGAAAACTATGGTAATAGTAACCATAGTATGGACTGTTTGTCTTCAAAATGACATTGGACAGTCAAAATAAAATATGAGGTGAAATTATCCATGAAAACATGTTGTGAACTGCTAAGTATTGTTCTGGATATTAATTTATATTTGCTTGTAATAAATGCTACTAGCAAGCACATGAATTGAGTTTATTATATTTTTTGTTTATTAGTGAGATTTCGCAACCTTACGAAAACGATAACGAATAACGAATACGTCATTAGCATTATCGCCATTAGTGCCTAAAACATACATGACAATACATATACAAGCTGAGTATGATCGTTTATTCATGTAAAAGGCATGAATGGCCTATGTTGTGACAGATATGCTACCGTAGGGGATGGATTAACTAAACATTTTTGACATAACCGTTTTGACATAACCGTATTCGTTATCGTTTTGGTAAGCTTGTGAAACCTCCCTATCGTTGTCTATGGTTAACGATCGTACTCTACGCTCCTCTACGACGGTACATTGATTAACAAAAGAAAGTCATTGAATCATTAACCATGGAAACTAAAAAGACGGACTGCCTATTATTCGGCAACGAATAGCAGTGTTTTCCGATTCTGCATTTTAAAAGTGGAAACGAATAGTTGCTTCCCTGCTATTTATCGTGTTTAATATCAATCCAATAGGCCTTGTCACGCATTACTCTGGAATATTAAGAATCTCTAATAATTCCTACTTGACAGTTCGTAAACTATAAAGTTCAAATCATTCAGAATAAATTAATTATACAGTATTTAAAGAAAATATTGAATTACAATATTACATTTTAATTTATATCATTCAGGTTATACAAATATAAACATTTACATAAAAATAGAAATTTCCAATTCTGAAATTATTCAACGTCAATGTTCGAATGAGCTCTGATCAAATATTCTGTCATAGGATAATTGTATTTTCCTGATCATACACAGGATACTGTAATTATACAGTAGTTATAAAGTGCCTCTATGTGGTTTAAAGAGGAACTAAAAAGATGATTTTTTTTGTTTGTTTTAGAGGGGATTTTTATGTGTCATTTATAATAGAATCATCTTTAAAATCGTTTTATTTTCTGGCAATGTTTATGAAGTTATATATTTTCCCTTTAGCAGCATGGCGTCAATGCAAGCTACTTTAACCGAAGATCGTATAGCGGCGCTGCTAAAGGGGAAAATCGTGGCCTCTAACTTCATAAAAATTGCCCAAAAAAAAAACAAAAAAAAAAAAAAACGATTTTAAGTTGATTCTATTATAGTAATGACATACAAAAAAAATTCCCCTCTTTTTTTTTTCTCTAGTTTTTAGTTCCCTTTTAAAATTATTACCCCGGTCACTTGATCAAACGTCTATTGAACACATCCCCAGCTTTCTGGTGAGTACAATTCAACACAAGCAGCTACAATCAGCACTTAGTAGCCTAGTAGATCCTACTAGTTACCTGCTTATACTCCTGAGTGATGGAGAGAGACAAAACGTAGATAAAATGCCTTGCCTAAAAGACACACGCGACTTTTTGCACAACGAGGGTTTCAAAACTCTCTACCGGTACCTGAAGGTTGAGAGAGTCTGAGAAACCTCTTCTACCTTCATTTAAATCCATTCACTTCTTGCCACTACCTACAAATTATTTTTGCAAGTGGTATTCGTGAATTAAAAATCACATTACTGAGACATTAACTAGTAAAGATACATAAGAATTGAGGTCTTAGGAAAATAAGAGATTGTGAAGTGTAACCAGGTATACACTGAAAGACGAAATTAGTAATTTAAGGATATATGAATTTAGATTAGACTACACGATAAAGTAATCTGTAGGTTTAGTGAACTAGGCTAAAGCTACACTTACACTAGATACGATATAAACGACACGATAAAAATGTGCTTAGTATTGAAGAATATAAATGACGCGATGATATGTCGTTGTCGTATCGTTATCGTGTCTAGTGTACATGTAGCTTTATATGTACCCACCAAGTCTGCGATGAGCTAAAAAAAGTCATTTTAAAAAGAAAACATTTCCTCCTCGCTACACGGACTTTTTCGGTTTTAAATGTTAGATAAACAATTTTTTTTTATCTGTGCGCCATTTGAAGCTCCTATAGCTTTGATCTTTTTAAACGGCCGAGGCTCTCACTTTTTTTTTTATTGGATATCATTGTTGATGGTTTTCTGGAACTTACTTATTACTTATTTTACGGATACCGTAAAACATCGAATAGAAGCCCTGGACTTTTTTTTTTTTTTTTTTTTTTTTCCCGACCTGTGGATGGTCTTTTTTTCGAGCTGGGATTCTTTTTTCGAGGCTGCTTTTGCAAAGTAAATATGGAAGCTTCTTTTCAAATTGAATGTTGTAAATAGGCTGTCTCTTATACACATCTAGGGGGGTGGGGTCTTCAAGCCCATTGGGATTCTATTCGAGGTTTTACAGTATGAGTTTATAAACATCGTAGTCATGGAAACCAAATACCGCCAAAAATCGCGTGTTAATCGCTATGGGGAAAGTTCCCGCGTACGTGAGATGGAACAGAACTGAGGCGCAGCTCCATGGCAACATTGTTTACGTTCGATACACAAATTGCATCTTTGGATTTTGTTGCGCACACAACACAAGAATTGTCGATCTCATACCACTATCAGAAAACGTTTCAATAATAAACACATTAAGCCTATATTTTTGGTTATTGCAATAGTTCTATTCGGTGACGTATACAAATCATTACGGTATTAAAAATGTCAGGTTCTCTTTTAGAAGCGAATACCTATTGTAATTTTGTTAGGAAAGTTGAAGATACACAAACCTGGAAGCCAATAATGGACACGTTAGATTCTCGGTTGAATACAATTGTTCAGCGGACTGAAGAAACACAAACTAGGATTGAAACAACTACTCTATCGGATTTATTGTCCAGAATATATTGCCGAGAGAATTCAGAAAGCTTCAGCTATAGGTATGTAATGATAATCCTCTAGCAACTTGACATTTTCAATAACTTGAAAGGTTTTTTTTTTTTTTTTTAAATAATAATATCAGATATCAGTTCTTCTATTTTTAATGTTATTGTATGTATTAGGCCTTGGCCTATTAGTTAAATAAAATAAATAATAATTCCCTGCTCTGAGAAAATGCATTAAAGTAACAAAATCATAGTTTTGAGTAAATGAGGAAAACGCGTTTGAGTTTTTACCAAGAAAAGTACAAATGATTTCAATTTTTTTAAACTATGGTTTGCTTAGATATATTATTAAAATTGATTAATTTTATTATTAAGGGGGCCAAAATGGAAATAATGCCTTTATTTCCATTGATGTAGATAAATACTTTGAAATCGGGCATTATCTGCAAAAGTGTTTATAAACATGCATTAATAATTAATTTATTGAAACGTATGTATATGAAATTAAATCTATAGATTTATAACATATATTTTATAAAAATCTTGCTCCAAAAAAAATGAAAATTAGTATTCAAAAATATTAAAATAGTGGAAACCGCAAAATCTTCTATTTAATTTTTAAAAACCAGAAGTATATGTGTGTAAACATTGAAGGCTAGTATACGCTGACATTATAAAATGTGGAATTTAATTGTGTACATGAGGAAAATGTGGTGAGGGGAGGGGGAAGGAGCCGGTGTTGTGGGGGAGGGGTGAGGTAGGATAGAGTTAAAATATTTTAAACTTATTTTATTTATGATTCGGTAACTAGCATGTCATCATATTTTTAAATCTCTTCATCCTCCTAATAATCATCATCTACATCATAATCATCATCATTATCGATTGATAATTAGAATATCATAATAATTAAATTGTTATCGACTAATAATAAAATAGACAAAGCATTATAATGTCAATTTCAAAGTTTATTGATAATAACTATTTAATTAACAATAACATGTAGAAAAATATATATATAAATGGTGTGCTAATTTTAAATATAAAATTAATAAATTTATATTTATTAAGTTATAATATACATTGACACTATTATCTTTACAATGATAATAATACAATAAAAACATGTTATACAAATGAGTACAAAACATTTTAAAAGTTTTATTTACAATTCTTCGACTGTTTTAATAGTTATTTACAGGTCCTTTTACGGTTTTTTTTTTTAAATAGTTACACTTTTTCTTTCACAATTGCATTACTCAATGTCCCTTCCTCGAAGTGGAGCATGATCTCGGTGGCGAAAATTGTGTCTGTCCACTTTTGGTTTACCACTTGGTTGCCTGAAAGAGTGATAATAATAATAATAATAATAATAATATATATATATATGTATTATTAACATACAATGTCAATAAAACAAAAAAATATACTACAAATAATAATAATTACCTAAATTTACTACTTTATAGGTAGGAAACATAATAAAATACAATATTGTACTTACTCTTCCAAAAGACTTCTAAAAAGGTCTTCCGCTTTATCTTGCATCATTTCGGCAAAAGTATCGCATTAATCGCATAATTATAAATAAACGCAGTAAAATACAAAGCAGATAATGCACTTTGTTAAAGTATTCTTTGAAATAAAGCAGTTACTAACTAGGCATTATCTTCCAAAGTTAATTAGATATTCGTTATACTAGCATATGATTGGTTACAATTACTATCTGTCTTACGTGAAGTCAAGCGTTCAATGCATATGTAAGGTTTCGCACATAATGCCTTTTCTCAGAGAATTTATAGTAAAATTTGCAGATAATGCCCAATTTTAAAATAAAATTTAATATTTCCAGATATATTTTTAAAAATTTGATAAAATAGGGTGATAGATTAGACATTCAGGAGTCACATAAGCTAAAAATCTCAATTTTGAAAAAAATGTACTTAATGCCTTTTCTCAGAGCAGGGCATAGGCCCCTAGGCTTATTTAATAATGTTTGATGTATTTATATCTCTTGTTTATGTAGTCTTTTGTATCTTATAACGTGCATTTTTCCGCATATCAATTTTTGCTAGATGTGACGTTCATTTGTTCAAGTGGTTCATCCCTTCTTTTTCGCTGCTTTTTATGTCTTGCTTTTTATAACGTTACTTTTGATCGGTGTGCGCGCAATGATGAAGCTTAATACATTATAAGCATAATCACTGACAATGAACTAAATATTAAATAAATGATATTAATTATTGAT